ATTAATTTTGTTATAGAGGATTATATATAAAGGGATTTGTCTGTTTTAATTGTGACAGTAGTAGCTGTTTATATGTCTGACACAGGGGACTCCTGCCATTGTTTATCAGTATCTAGGACAAATCTAGGACTTTGGCAGTCTAAATATGCAAAACACAGCAGGAAAAGAGAAATAGAGAAAACAAGGTTGGCCCAAATCAGGTTAGTTAACAGGCTAGTAGCAGAGCAAGGTATTAAACTGAATCAGTTCCTCAGACAGATATACATTTCTGTTAGTGAACCCAGCTGTTCATATGTATACTTATTCACAGCCCAAAGGAAGATTTGAAGCAGCAGTAATAGCCTATTTGGTTCAGCTTTATGAAATATAGCATAGCAACAATAACATTACTCAGTGGCAAAGTTTAAAATACCACTTATTTTTGCCACTCAGAGTAATTCTCTACCTTCCATATCCTAACACAAGCATGTACTTCTCAAGAGAAGCAGACATAAATCAGGATATTGAATGGCATGAAAACCTCGGCACGAAGAAGTGATCTCAGTAGCCTCCATCTCACCAATTCATTGATGAAATCCATACGTTATATCTTATAAGCTGAATTTCTCAGCCATCTACCCCTGCCAGGTTTCTCTTGTCTCCCTTGCTGAGGACCAGGTTATAAAAAGTAAGAGGCAATATTTACAGCTCTGAGAGAAACCCTTTTATCCCAAATAGTCTTGTTTTATTTGAGGTGACCTATGAGGTTACCTTTTGCCTTTCAATTTCCTCCTCAAGCTTCTGCATAATCAGGTGGGTTAGGTAAAGTTTGGGTACAGATCTTCAGACTCATGTTAACACAACAAAAATAGCAGCAGTTGAGTTTTATTCAAAGAGTAGTTCTGGGACTAAATGTGCACTCACAGTGGTGAATTATCTCCTGCATGCATTTCTATTTTTACCTCTCAATTTTTTGGCCCATAGAATCCTAAGCAGTTAAAATGAACCCTACACCTAATGTATAAATACACTTTCAAAACACGAAGCTCAGAACTTGCAACCTGGTTTTGGGACACTGTAGCAAGCTGCCCAGAACACTGCTGACTCTCCAATTAGACATTCAAACAAAAATACCTCAAATCACTACTGCTTTTGATAATATATACCAAAGAAATAATAAAGTAGATTAAATATGACACCTTTATAAGTAGGTCTCAATTTTTTTCTCAGCTCTAAACTGATTATTTGCAGCAAACCTCTGCTTTATTCTTGCCACTCTATTCAGTATCTTCTCCTCCTCAAATTGGGTGCTCCCTTTATTTCAGGTCCCCATTTGTTACATCTCCACCATTCCCCACATCAGTATACCTTTTCAATAATCACTTTTTTCCATTCTCTTTTCCCATAATCCTTTCCTTATCTTTCTCCTCCATGGTGCTACCTCCTCCTCCTCTCATCAGAGCCACACTCTTTCTGATCCCTGCAAATGAAGAACCCTTCTTTTATTCTTCCCACTACCTTAGACAATTCCTCCATTTTAACCACAAACATTAGCATCCACATAAGTTAAGGTACAACATTTTATTGGTCTAGTGCATAAGATACAGAAGACATTTTTTCATTGTTGTGCAGTCTTATGAGGCACAATTTTGATTAGTTTTATTTGTTTTAACCTGCTTCTGAAATCTTGGTACCAATCAGCATCTGCAGTGAGAGACTGCACTCTCTGGGCCAGAGTTATGAGTAGTCCATGCATCAATAATGCACACAACAGGGAAAAGCTTTTCTTTCTTGTAAAGCTCTACCAGTCCGACACCTGCACGACAACTTAATTCACCCTCCTCTGCAAGTTAATCAGCTCCACTTTATACAGAGGATTTAAGAACGAGCTGCAAGACAGTTCACTGCAGATAAAATATCATCACTAACTAGTTACCGGAATTGCTAAATCGGGACAAGTGTGCCAGGACAGTCAGGAACCCAACACTCCTTCTCTGGCTTTTAGACACATCCAGTTGCATAATCCAGAGGAGTAAAGATGAGCTGGTAGATCACCAGTCATCATTTTTCCAAGCCTGAAAACAAGTTTTACCTTAAAAGCTTAACTGAATTTTGTAACAAGATCTAGAAGCAGCCCAGTGAGTCCATCTTAAGAGGCCAGATCAAGGCTGTAGCTTGGAACAACTCAATTTTGGTAGGTGAGATCCATTTTAGTCCTCACCAGCTCTCAGAAGAGCTCTCACAGCATTACCGCAGCCCAGAGAAAAGTGGGGCAGCAGCTGTCCACAAGCTGAAGCTTCAGACCAACTTCCAGAGAGCATTTTAAGTATCTAAAAGTTCAAATAAATGAGTGCTTTTGGTCTCACTCCCTCCATGGTCTTTTCTTGTTGTTATTTTACTAATGAAATCTGGGGAAAATATGCTGCTGTTTTTATAGTGCAACACGATTGGCAAACCCCCACTTTAGAGAAGTGTAGGTTGTAGCACGCATGACTAACGATTAATGATGCTCATTAAAAAATGAAGTTCTGATGAAATTCATTAATGCTTGGCTTGAGTCTTGCTAACAGTTACGCAACATTAAGAGCAAGGCAATTACAGATCTTGGCTGCAACTCATTGAGAGATAAAAGAATACCCTTTTTCCTGTTTAACTCAATGTATGACATGCTGTACTACAAAAATAATCTGTCTTGAAAAGCTTCTTCAACAATGAGGCACAGCCTGCAGCTCCATTGCCACCTGCGGGTAAGTGCTGGAGCCTGTCATCCTGCTCCATTTCCCAGGGCACAGAGAAATAAAGGTATCAACAGAAATTAACTACAATAGAGTGGCATGCTTCTGACTTGCCCCCGTTAGTCATAAAGCCATTTGAAGCAGACACCACCTTTGGCCTCTCAGGTGACTGCTATTATTTGAACAATTTTATGTACTGCTCATTTCACGCTCCTAAAAGATGAGCAGCTTTATTCTAAATAGCACAGCAAGTGACCAAGATGAGGATGAACTGTAGATTAATTGTAGGGAATATTAACAGGGAACAGGAAGGAAGCAAGTCATGAGTAGCAGCTTAAGTGTGGAGTCTCAAGGAAGGCTTCCAAAAGGGTGTGCAGTAAGAGGCTCGCACTCTCGTCTCAAAGCCAGTTCTTGATGAAAGAAACATTTTTGTCGCTACATGTCAGCAATAAAACACACTGTAGGGCTTTGAAAAAAAGCCTCCTCTACCTGTGTAGTAGCAAGTGCCAATTCTGAAAGGGGACTGTTGGCAGTGCACACCCGTGGATGTGTGTATGAGGTCCCAGTGCATTCTCACACAGCCTGACTCTGCAGTGCTAATGGGAATAAAGCCTTCTATTTAATATATCTATTAACCTATAAACCTACATACATCCTGTATAGTGCAAATCACCTTTCTATTGTTATTAAGGGTAAGCGTGCTATTTTGAATTCACTTAGGCAAACTCCTAGACGTGCACAATGTATATAGTTGACATTTAAATACATTGCATATTTGAGTCGACTACACATACCAGTGTTTTTTCTCCTATTTATATCTGTAGTTTGCTCTTTATCTTGAGGAAAATAAATAACCCATTCAGGACTGTATTTTCAGGGGTGGCCTCAGAAAACTACTTCATTACTTCCTATGGACAAATCTAGTTCAGTAAGAGCTTGCTCTGCACTTTCTGGCCAAGTTGTGAATGAAGGCTTTTTACCTGGGGAGTGAAAGAAAGACTCCATGTTATGACATTTTGTAACAAACACTAGCCACAACTTAGTCCTGTGGAACGTCTTGAAGATTTGAGCAGTGGACACCAGAGAAACACAGTCTCTCAGCCATAAGCAGCAATTCAGTAGGGACAAGTAACCAGAGATATCCCAGTCAGTGTCTGAGTATTTTCTATTAAATTGAAAACCAATTATTTGACTCACCCATTCCGTAGTAGTACTATTTCAGTAGAAAAAAGCCAAATAGAAATAGGCCACGTGTTTATGTCAATGAGAAGCCAGCAATGCTCGGTGTGTCTGAGGATCTGAGGTGGCCTAGTTGTGCATATAGAGCATTACTCTCTGATCATTAAACTTCCAGAAAACAGTTAAAAGGTGGAGGCACTGCAAATTAAGAAGGAATTGTTATATACAAAAACCTACTTAAGATACACAGGGCTCGAGTCTTCAATCTCCTACAATGCTGGGTCAATGCTTTTACACAGTATAAAGGTTACTCTACTTTTACACTCAGCAGAACTTTTTTTTTTTTTTCAGTTTTGCTTTATTTGCTTGTTCTATCTGTCCCTTAATACCCATACACGAACACCAATAACACCTTATTCAAGCCCACTACAAACAAGACCAAAATTTTGGATTCAGTGTATGGGGGAAATACCCATTTTCAGTGACAAGGACAAGAGGCACTTAATGGAGCACAGACTTTGGCCCAAGGAATGTTTTCCTCAGTGAATTCACTGCGGGAAACCGCAGAGTAAACTCAAGCCCAAGTAAAATCTGTATCTTGCTGAAATCGTTCTCTTTAGGGCCCACAACCAGTTTGACTGCTGTACACCAAAGAATCCCAGTTAGCGCTCAAGCAAGCAACTAACATTGTGCCACCAGCACTGAAGAGCCTTCCTTCAGCATCACAGATCAGCCTGTAAAATGGGTTCCCGATAGTTAACACTGCCCTTATGCATAAATTAAAACTACAGAGCAGCCCAAACTTTGCATGCTTTCCTCCATTTCCTCGGTAGTAGTGATCCCTCCCAACAGCCACACTTCACCTAGTTCCTGTCTCTCAAGTTTTAGTGGTCAAAAACTAAGCCTATTTAATATGCAAAACTATTAAAAGAGTTCACTTTGTGCAAGCCAAATACTGGCACAAAGTATTTATTTTTAGCTGGGTTGTTAATCTCAGAAAGAGGTATGCATTTGAACAAGTCAAAAGCCTTTAAGAACTCTTAAGTATTCTGTATCAAGTGCTTTCAGACCTGGGGAAAGCAAAATCATCACAATACATGCTAACAGTGCAGTTAGAAACAAACTTTATTGTTGCAATTTGAAATTATTTACACAATATAAATCTCTTTGAAAGGTACATCATTTAATCAGTGGTAGAAGGCCTTATAATAGCTTCAATAACATTTAGTTGAAAAGAAATACAATTCACTCCGATGGATAAATGATGCATCTAATTCCACAACATACAAGAAGGATCATGGGACTTTTGGGGGGGATGACAGTGCTGGAAGGTGATAAAGGTTTATTTGGAAATTGAGCTTCTTTTATTCACAGGACATAAATGGGACTTGTGTTTAAAAGAACACTGAAAAATATGCAGTAACAAAAAACCACAAAATGGCATATATCCCTAATATGCTATGGCCCTGTTTCTGCAAGTATCTAAAGGTTTTTAGACAGCTGGACTAAGAGGCTTGAGACAGAACCAATGAATCTAAGTCATATTTAAGATTGGATACATTCTCAGTGCTGAGACTATTCAAAGCACTTGTGTACAAAGCAGCATTATTAACTACCACAGACTGCATCTGAGATACAAAATATTAAAAGAAACATTTCTAGGAAAAAACAAAAACCAAAACAAAAAAAAAACCCTTCACACTGAAGACTTGGACACCTACCATTTTTTAAAAACACTTAAGAACTACTACTACCAAAGCTGAGAAACATATACTTTTTTCCAGTTCACGCTGCATTTTATGGCATTGTATACATTTTTCTTGTTTCTTTTACATGGTCTTTTTCACCTTGTTTTTTGCATGGGGAAAAAAAAACCTTAACACAGAAAAAACAGTTGCAATACCACAAAAATAGGCTGGTGCAGTACCTGAAGTTATTTCAGCGTTTATTTTCAAAGTTTGTTAGATTTCAAGTAATTTGCTTTCTAAATGTTCACACAACTTTTAATTTCCACCAAGTTTTCTCTGTCATTTCTCTGTAAACATCAAATCAAACATATTTGGGAACCCCATTAGGTTCCACAACATAGGGAACCTGAGACAGCAGCTCAACAATTTTAGAAGGCTTCAAAAACAGCTAATATAAAAATCGTGAACCAGAAGTTTGGTAATCTGGTGAAGTATGGCCACCTGTTCTAAGATCATAACAGGCTTCAGGGCCATTCCAGTCAGTTTTCTGACATTTCACAATAATAATAAAACCATTAAATAAAGGACTTGTGCAGACTACCACTTACACTATTAAATAAACAGAAAATCCCAACACACACTTAAGTGTTGCAGATTAATCAACTGCATGGGGTTGTTTTGGGGTTTAATAATCTTTTGAAATGTTTCTTCTCTCTTCCCCAGGCTGACTCATTTCCTAATCACAGGAAATTAATCTCTACAGATCAGATCAATTGCAAAAGTCACTTTTGGAAATAAAAAAATTAAAAAACCAAACAATGCTTTTTCCAGTGTCTCACCACATCATTATGACAGAGCACCTCCATACACCCAGCACATGCAAACGTTTCACACATTTTCCTTTCCACTCCAGAGGTCTAAGTGCCACAAATTTAGCTTTCTTCCAATATGTCCCAACTGCTGCTGAAAGCCTCTTTCTTAAAAGTTGTGTGGTTGGCTAACAGAACACCTACCTTGCTCAAGACCAAAGGCCATGGCTGTTTGTGTCTTTCACAACGAATGAAAACAATCAGCTTGCAGTCCACAGTAATAAAAAGAGGGGAAGAGCATCAGCTGCAAAACTGCTCAACATCAGCCTTGCTTTGTGTCAAGGTCTGATCAAATGCTTTCTGTTCTACTACCATTCCAACCAGCCTGGTGTGGAAAAGATGATACGAGACAGTTGCTAATTCCAGTAGTTTAGTAATCTACCACACCTTACAATGCATCCAAGAGCACTAAACAATACAAAAACAAAGAATAGACAGGAACCTCAAACGCAGATGGGTAAAACGTGGTCAACCTCCTCGGCAAACAACAGGAAGGACTACCCCAAGCAAGAGATGATATTCCACTGGGCTACAGAACAAAGTTTTGTTTAATCAGAAAGTTACCCAAATTTGTTTTAATGTTTGTTTTTTTTTTTTTTTTGTAGAAGTAACAAAATAGTATTTTGTGAGATTCTGTTAGCTACCAAAGACTTTTAAAAAAACCTGAACTTCATTTTGAAACAAACTTTACAATTTGCTCTTGTCCTTAACCATTGTCCAATACCTTGCTACATCAAAAGCTTAAGCATGAGTTTCCACATGTACAATTTCCTTTTACTTATATTTACTGAGCCCATCCCTCCTCTTTACTAACACAGCTTTGATAAACTCAGTTCCCAGGACTCTTCTAACTTCAAGTGTCAACACTGATAACCATGCATACCTTTCATCCAGTGCAGGTAAAGCTGACAGGATGTACAACCTGTATCAAGATCAATTTGTCAGATGGACAATGAGATTTGCACACCAGTATTTTCCAGCAGTTATTAAACACCGCAGTGACAGGAATAAACTAACAGCTTGAAGGACACTATGGAATTCAAAACAGACAGCAAAAGGCAACAGTAATGAAATATAGTCAAGCATTTGGGGAAAACTATGCTTCATTACATCTATGCTTCCAAGATTAAAAGCCTCTTCAGAAAGGGACTTCCTACTTAAAAAAATTCTGATGAGCAGTTATGTACTGACATAACAGACCACGATTTTAGTGAAAAAGGAAACTGTGATAATTAAGTATGGAAAGGAATCTTTTCTATTCATGTTTCCCCTACTGAAGTACAGTTGTGGGCACGGGGGGGGGGGGGGGGGGGGGGGGGGCGGGGAGAGAGAATGGCACACAGGGAAAATACCTCAGGTAAATTTCAAATAGTCTGATGGGGCTACTAGTAGTTCTAGTGTTGGAAAATGACTGGCAGAACTATTTTAGTGATTTGGGCATTTAGCATAAGCATTTACAAGTTAGCATCTAATTCTATTATAAGGCTATATCCACGAAAAACATTTAAGTTGGGGGACTTCTATCACAACTAACTCAATTGCTGTCACCGTGGGAACGCACACTTTAAGAGTACTTCAATTCAACATGCTTATGTTTAGAAGTCACCAGCATTCAAGAATGTATAGGAATTTCTTGGAAATTTAAATAAACAATTTTAACAGCTTTCCCTATGCCACAGGTACCACATGTACCTCTGACACAGTCTGCCCTATTATTAGAATACACTTTCTCTTCATTTTAGTACTGTAAAAATTCCTTTATTCCCAGAATCATTCCCAAGAGCAAGATGCCAAAAAAGCTAACAGGAAAAAAACACTGGATGCCCAAGGCTATAAATGGGTACCTTAACATAAAACTATTATGATTTGTTACAGGTCAATTTAACAAAAGAAGTCTGCACACAGTTAGATTTCTTCTTTACATCAAAATTTCTACAAAATAGGAGAGAATACAATGCAATACACAAGTCCATAAATGCAAGATACAATACAATTCACACTAATTTACAAATGGTTATTTACACTGTTGTATATACACATACAGTCAGACCTGGTTAATGCAAATTTGGTAAGTCTTTTTAAAATTCAAATCAAGAAGTATAAATGAAGGAATTAAAAATTATGTGAAAAGAGACTAGTTATCATTCAGAAATCTTTCATGCTTAGGTGACCTAAGAAATTAGGCAGGAATTAGCCAGATCTGACTGCAGAAATGAGAAGAAAAATTCACACTATTCTGCTTTACAAAAGCAACCAGGCCACTATGGTCTATTGACTTGATGCTATTTATGCAAGAATGCCATTACTAATAATCCTCTTTATATTTACAATATAGGTTTAGCTACAGTAAGAATTATTAATTTTGGCATTCATGCCCTTAGCTTAACATAAAGGCAACAGAGTATCTTCTTGGCAAGTCACAGTCAAAACTACTACAGGATGTTTCTAGAGCTCAGTCATTTTTTGTCCTCTTTCAAATACCTTAACATTGCTAATAAAGAGACTGAGATAAATTAATTGAAACAAGTACATGTTCTCTAGTACCTAACTTACATTCAGAATGTCCTGTATTCACAGTTTCAAGCTACCTTATAATCTGCAATGCTATTGCAAACTACTGCTTCAAACTTAACACATCTGTAGATATTCCTTAGCAAGTCAGAATATCGGAATGCTACTGGCTCAAACGGACATGGAACAAGGCTCAAGGTAACTGGCATTTCATTTTGGAAAATGTTTTACAGTATTTCCTCAGAACTTATCAGGATTTGTTTTAATCTGTGCTTGTCTTGAAAGAAAGCTGATGCAAAGCAGCATTTAAGTGTGTAAAATGAATTTCAACATGCAAAATGAAAGCCTCTACCAGTACTGCAAAGTCAACCACCGTAACCTGTGATAATCCTTGTGCTTCTTCGAAGTGGCTCAGGAAAAGCTTGCAGTATTTACTATCTGCTTCAAAGTGCTTTTATGGGATTCAGTGGAACGTCAATCCACAAGAATGAGATTGAGCTGCACTCATGAAGAGCTTTGGTTCTGCAGAAGCAAGCTTCCACTCCTACAGTTATTGCTACTTGAACTATACAAACAAAAATATTACTGAAGAAGAAATACACTAACTCCAAACTTAAATAGTACTGGTACCTGAAAAGGGAATGTGTTTTGCCAACTGTTGGGAAAGTTAGGATCTCTCAAGTGTTGGGTTTCCCAAGACCAAGTGAACTTCACAGTTTTTTTCAAATATTTCACAAATACAAACCAACACTGCCAGATATAAAGCCACCTCTTGAAGAAAATAGTAGTAAGAGTTCAAAAACCTTCATCCATCTTGCTTCCAAGCAGATCTTGCTGAACTCAAAGGGACTACCAAGACAGCAGGATGTTATTCAACATATGTCAATAATGTCAACAGGGAAAAAGTACAGAAAATTAAAGTCTTCAGTGCTTTTATGAGCTCTAGCAACATCCTTGATAACTGCTACAAAGGAAAATATAAATGTCTATTTTAGCTATTTGTTTTTATTTAACTACCAAGAAAATTTGTCCAGTAAAATAGCCTCCAGATAACAAATGCTAACGGAAATGGTTACCTAATTTCAAGTTACAAAAAAATCCCAGTTCTCCCATTTTTATCAGTATTTTTAAGGTTTTGACTGAAGGAATTTTTTTTTTTTAAATTGGAAACATTCAGAGATGAATATAAACAAATTAAGAAGGAAAAAAAATCCCAAACCTTGCTTTTGTAAAATAACAGAATGCCATTCAAAATGGTCTTTCAAGGTGAAAATTTTTCATTCACATCAATTTTCTTTGTCCTGAATCAATCCAAGCTTTTGTAAAGCACATATGTATATATATGTGTACATATGCATACACATATATACACATACACACACAGCTGTGTGCCATAAAGCAATTTTGAATAAATATCTTTGCTGGAGTCTGTACAACAGACTCCCCACAATATTTACTCTTCAGGTAAGTTTGTGTTTGCGCGCATACATGCACACACACAGACTTTGTATGTGTGGGCACTTATGTGACCAAAGTGCAAAGTTTTTCAGAGTATAATCAGAGTTGAGCACATGCCTGCCCAACTCCACACTGCATTGTTGGGTTTTATTTTTCTGTTGTGGGTTTCTTCCCCTCCCACCCCCGTTTAGATTTAAAGCCTCTTTTCCATGCAAGCTTATGCATTGTTTTTCTAAGTAAACATTTTCTTTTCAATTCACATTTTGTAATCCAGACCATTCTTGGTATAATAGCTTTAAGAAATAAGAAAACTGTGTGATGATCAAAGCCCCATTGTTCAAGTCGTATACTTTTCCATATTATCCTTCAAACTGGAGACCTTGAAAAGTAATTTGCTGCCACAGGAAGAAAGAGAGAGGGGAAAAAAAAACAACACCAAGCAAAAACAACAAAACAAACTATAAAATAAAATTTAAAAAAACCCAAACACATAAAACCAGACATACCAGAATCTGCAACTACAAGACCAAGCATTTAAGACTAGAATCCAAGGTTAGAAGATGACAAAGCAGAAAAATGTCAATAATTCACAAACTGTAAACCTAAGCGTCTTGCTCCCCAGTGCAACAGGATCTCTGTTCACTAATCTTCAATTCAATAATCCATTCTGCTAGATACTGCTGACGCACATCAAATATAGACACCAGAATAGTGTTCAAATTTAGAATCAAGTTTCAAAAAGGAATATAGATTTGGAATAGTGGTCTTTTGCTTTAAAAGTACACTAAATAAACAAGCAGCTTTCCCACAGAAGTTAGAGATGGTACATATCCTCAAAGAATGATGGCCACAGAAATTTCACATTTCTACAGCTTAACACATCAAGAAGGAAAAATCAAAACATTATTTATCTTTCCAGCAAGCTGGTTAATTCTTATACAAAACTGAAGTACCATCATATGGAAAGCTACCTTGTTCTTTTTTTAAAGAGATGGGGGAAAAAAAAAAAAAGATCATCCTAACCTTTTTCCCTAGTTACATCACACTGGTGTTCTCACAAGTCTATTATCACTCATTTTACTTGTATACATCTAAAAGGTTAATATTCTCTCATCATGTTTTCTTTAATATAAGTTAATGCAACTTCAATAAAATAAGTTGTTAAACAAATCCTTTGGAACAACTTCACTGTCTGAACTCAACTTTTACAGAAACTGATGAAAGCAGCAATGGAATCATGTTAAACTTATAATAAATAATTCACATACAACATATGTTAAATCACAAAGAAGGATTAAATTGCCATTTCTACAACTTTTTATAGGTTTAGCAAGTTTCTAATCTGTTTTATATCAACAGCAGTACGTATGCTCTTCATATTAAATTTAACATCGAAGGACTGTTTAGAGGCATTATTTATAAAGCAAGAACCACCAAGTGAGCATTATAGAACTTCAATAAATGTTTAGCTTTTTTTCCAGTATCTGTTCTCAGAAAAGATTCAGGGGTTGTCTATCCACTTGGTAAGTTTCTCCCTCTTCATTACTCAGGAAGAGTTAATGTCATGACCTCCAGCTTCATTTTGAAATACTGGTTAAACCGAACAATTGCATACCTGTTCAAAGGGAGAGAGAGATTTGAAGTTACGAGCAGGTAACGCCTTATATGAACACAGTCATGCTAGGTAGGACTAGTCATAAGCCCACCTACCCCAGCACCCCGTTTCCAACACCGACCCTTCGCAGATGTCAAAGGAAGACATTAAGAACACAGCAACCATATTATGGTACCTCCTTCACCACTACCACCCACCACTCCCAGCTTGCTACAGTTTGCAAAACAAACACTCTTCCAGGATTATCAGAGGTGGTGCTTTTGTGTTTAATAGTTCTTAATACTGTCCAACAACTGACAGCTACAATTCCAGAGAAATCTGATCCTGATCATTGAAAGAATGACATTTTATTCAAAACTGACAAGCTTGGGAGTTCTACCACCTGTGCTTTAACTTGTTTTTTTGTGCCATCTAGCGGTTACTAACAAGTACTTCTACTTGAGAGTAGTCACAAGAAGAAATCCACACTTGCCTCATTTACAAAATGACACAACTAAGCCTAGTGAACTGGCTTAGTCAGTGCAAAAAATTCTGAAGTGGCATCTTTTACCAAGCAAAATTATTAATTTTATCACCTCGCCAAGTCCTTTATGGAGAGATCAATTCCTCTGCTTGTTGCCATTAAAGACCAATTAAAAAAACGCCAGACACATATCTACCTGAAACAGAACACGACTGGCCAATGTATCAGGAAACAGAACTTAACATTCATTGACATTACAAAGACTCTTTAAAAATGATTAGGAATTTCCAAGATCAACACTCCATGCAGTAAGAAGTAAACAAGCTCTTTTACAAAAGAGCCCTGTTTCTTGACTCTTGCAGTTGGAAATGTAGGTCTTGCATCTGACAGATAGTATAACCATGCTGACCCAACTTGGCTTTTATGCCTTTGTCTCTCCAACAAAAAACACTAAATGTCCAAAACATTTATTCCTCTAGTTATCTTCCTTGCCTTGCTATACCATGCCTTTTAGCGAAGGACACATACTCATTTAGAGAACTTACAGCAACAAAAAGCACAGACAGCATTTACTGGCTTGTCTTCTCTTAAGAGTTATAATATGATCACACAGATTAGGTCTGTTGCTCAGACCTCAGTTTCTAATGTTTGGGCTGTTGGACTAGATGGCCCCCCAGGTCCCTTTCGGCCTCAAGTATTCTATGATTATGTGTAGCAAGCATACTTACCCTAGAAAATCAAAGTCAATGGTGGAATATTTGGCTTGAATTAGAGCCCACAGTCCCCAAAAGAAGTGGGAAGCCTGAAAGGAAGAAATTTTTTAGTGAAAGCTTAACATTCTATAAAATCAAACATGTAAACATATTCTCACACTGAGACAAAAAGTTATTTACAAAAGAACTCTCAAAACCCAATCTTTTTGTAAAGTTATTTAATATCTCTTTACTAAAGAGATTGGTAAACAAGTATTATAGAACTAATTACTGGCAATTGGAGAAATAAATCTACTGGGGCCTTCTGACTCTCCATGTGTTATTTTCAAGAAAAGTAATGTTGCATTTATGAAACAGGTCATCTACTAAGTAAACTGCTGTACAACTATATACACCATGTTAAAAAAATGCACAGAAATACAACTAATTTCTACTACTGCTAATCAAATACGTATTATTCTACATGTATTCAACTCCAGTGCAAATATGGAATTCCTTTTGAATCTTTGATTACAAGCTACTAGGCCATTATAACTACAACTCACATTCACTGCTGACTTGGATCTATGTAAGAGAACCTCTAACTCATCAGCATTTACACAAATTTCTCATCTGTTCCAAACTTACTTCCATTAAGACTCCATCTAAGTAGTCTGGAGGCCTATGTTCAGTTTCAGATTGAAACTATGGATTACATTAATGATACCATTGTTAGTATACTTCAAATGAATAAATACATGTAATGGCCATGAGCCTGATAGTCTCCCTGTGGAAGACATTTCTAGACCACCCAGGTTATAAACTATATACTTCAGACTTCTGTCCAGTAAGTAACTGCTTACATTAATTACCTAAATTACTTCCTGAAGTTTGAATGTAACACTTTACCATAAGTGTAGACACATGCATACAGACACGTCTGAAAACATCTTAAAATGGCAACTACTGTTATGTACGTGTGAATCTCCTGTACATCCAGTTTAGCTAACTTCATCTGATAGTGAGCGGTTTGGCATTTTACACCAGCATCCATAAACTTTATTTCATATTTTCTCTTACCAAAGCTTCCCACATTAACTGATACAAGAGTGTGTGGCAGTATTTGTGCATCATGTGTGGTCTATATGCAGGTCTTGAGCTGTTCTCTAAACAGAACTCTATCCTCTTAAACATTAGTGCGACCATAGTTTAAAACTGACAAAACAATGCTATATATTTTAAAACAGACCACCAGCCTACTTAATTGCAGATCTAACTTTCCTAAATGACCGGGACAGCGTAAGTTAATGTTAACTGCTGGATAAGAGATTTTAAATTAATAACAAACAAGCCAGTATTTTTAAGGGCTTGTTTATTAATCATCTTCCTAGAATGTGAACTGTATTGCCACACAGCAATTATTCCCTTTTGCCAGAAAACTGAAGGTATTACAGTAACAGAGGTATGCTTGGATTAGTCAGAAAGATGACTGAAATAAGGCCAAACTTGCTTCTTAGCCTTAGCCCTCTTATGAATAGTTTGGCATGATACTCTTCAGGAGAAAGTAAAATAAAGTTATCTAGCTATTGGGTAAAAGGCACTTTTGCAGTAACATTTTCTGTCACATCCTCTAGGTAAAACAAGATCAGGGCTAGTCAGAAAACTTAAAAATAATATGAACCTGTAAAGGATTTATGGAAATCCCAGAGAGATAAATCTTGGAAAAAAAGAGACAGAATCAAACTGCTCCTAATGGTATACATAATTGGGACATTCAAAGACTCAATGCCACACTTGTTTGACTTCTTATTCTACCTCCATGAATTATACTTGATGTTTTTTCCCCTGAAGGACAAGGCACCAAATCAGCACCAAAGCCAGATCAAAATTGAACACACTCCATCCTTTCAAAGGGAAAGAACAAAGAAGTAAAACTTTTACATCCAAACTCTATGAAAAACAGACCAACAGACAGGAGACAGCTTATGATGCACAAGACATAGGAAGAGCAGGGAGCAGACTCACACAGCCAGCCCTCACACTCTGCAACAAAGCAAAACTTCTGGGGAACCACAGGAGACTACATGTGCACTTTGCTACAATTTAAACCACTAAGGTGACAAAAAACAAACATGAAAGCAAATCTTTCCTGCCAATACACTGCAGACAAGGAAGGAGTTCAGGTAGTACTGAAAGTTTCTAGTGACTCAATTATGGAAAGGGGGGAGAGAGGAGAGCAGATTATTAAAAAAAAAAAAATCAAATTATCCTAGACTTACTCTAACAAAATTTTACCATCTTTTTTTTAAAAGGATTTTAAAGTCAGAAGATGTATAGGTCTTTATGAAGCAATACCTTGCTCTTCTGTCTTCTTACCATTATAAGTTCAACACAGACCCACCATAAAGGTCTAGCCAGCTCAAGAACTTGCCAGAACAATAAATAGCCAGTAGAAGTACTAGCTAAAAGCTCACCTCCTTGTTTTCTGATGCTGTCTCTTTCACTAGAAATACTCTACAGAGAACTTTTAACACACAACATAGCATAGAGCAGGCTAAGGAAGTTTTTCTTTCCATGCCGCAGCACTCAGTAAGAAACTCACAATCACATTTGTCCACAGAATGACAGGCTTCTCTATAGCACTTAATATATTCTAATCAAGTGTTTGTTATTTACCAGTGCAAACTGATTGACTTGGACATATAGAACTTCAACTTCTTTTTCACTGACTTCTGTGCCAAATCCTTTATATTCTTTGTAGGCCTCAAGGTAAGATCTCAGCCATTGTTCCTGTAATTTTCTGTTAGGATAAAGGCTGTAGTCTACCTCATTTACTCCTAGAAAAAGAAGAAAATACCTATTAAAACCTTACAGTGTCTAATAGAACCATTAGAATCACATTACTGGACTACTTTCTTCCCCTCTACCACCACCCTCATCCATACACATGCACAAACATCCATGTTTTTACTTTGACCTGACTTTATCAGATACATGTTGGCAAGAACTTCTCATACACAAATCAGTGTTCAAACATCGTAGAAATATTTATGCTGGATATGTTTTCAGCCACATACAAATTCTAATTGTATTTTGAGATTCAACAAATTTAGCTTTGAAAGAAACCTCAAAAGTATTTGTATTATGAAACAAAATCCCTCCTAAACTTACCAAATATTACACACATCTCATAGGAAAAGGGACTTGCATGCAACAATATCCAAAGCTGAATCCAGATGCACATACATTATCACCAACTAAGTTCGCATTTGAGAAAAATTTGTTAGAAGTCTAACTCTTTCTTCCACAGGTTATTGGTAGAATTAGAAGTCTTATCTCCATAGCCATACTTTTTGTCCCATTTTTCTTCCTATACTGGAGATGCTTAGTCACTAACGATATGAAGTTTGCCAGGAGTCCTAAGCCTGGATCACAGTTCACTCCCACTAGCTATTACTCCCAGAGCGTATGAGAATTCTCCTTAAGTCCTGCTTTATGAACAGTGCAATCCCCTAGCACCTAAACTCTTTCCTGTGTCAGATCCACACAGTTAGCTTTAAAAGAAAATAATAATCAGATTTTTACTGTATGGATAGAGAATAGCAGAGGTGAAGCACAACTCTTCTCCACTGGCCAAAAAAACCCTATTTGTACCTTTAGTCATCTTACCGTACTTAGCTCCTTAAAGATGTAGTCAGACTCTGACAAGTCCCAGATGAAAAATCAAAAGTTCTCAAATATGTTTTGTAAAGAATTTAACTTGCTTTTCAAATACTTAAATTACCAAGTATACGCTCTGATTTTTTTTTTTAAGTTACCTATACTTAACATTCAGTTTATCAAACAATGACGAGTAGATAAAGGCTTCTAATTTCACCATACTGCACCTTCCATCTGTACTAATCATTATGTAGCTTTTTCCTGTTGCCTCATCTTCTGAAATAACACAGCATACACTCAGGGTTATGTCTCTCTTATGGAGAAAACTGAATGGGCATTCACTGAAAAAATTTGAACTAGTTAATGAATGAATCTACCAACACCTTATTCCTATCACACAGTCTTAGACTTTACTTCTCATTTTAGGACATGACTCAAGGGCAAGTACTTAGCACACACATTCAAAGCCACTAAAAACCCCACATATGCCTGATATTTGGAACTGTGGAACCACACTGTATTCTCAAAATACACCTATTGCTGTAAAAGACTCATCTGCAGTATTTCATTACAGAGTACTGTCTCCGCTGTGTCATTTCACAGAACGATACCGTAGAAGCTGTAAGTTCTGTATTTATGTAACTCTACCAAGACTTAGGACATGATGTTCCCATTTCTGGCCTAGCCAGGCTGCAAATGAAGCACATAACTGACCTGCAAGATGAGACATTAACAAATTTTGATACAATCAGGTGAGCAGCTATATACATGTACATAGATATACAGAGAAAAAAGAATGAGCTTTTTTTATAAAACCTTTACCTCAGAAATCCCATTTTTACCTGCAAATTCATTGAAGTGATTTCCAATGTCATAAGCCAGGTAGTTGTATCCAGAATACTCATAGTCTATGAACTGCACATCACCTATGTGAGACACAACAACAGCAACATCAGAGACCATAACAACAGAAGTCACAGCCCTAATCCTTTGGTGTCCTTTGAAGTTTGGGGGGAAAAACAAAACAAAACCACACACCCATCTTACTTGTGCCCAGTTGTGTGCACTCAGACATTCCAGGGTATGGCTGTGATTTTTATGATAGGAGATTCTCTCAAATATTAATTCAAAAATGATCTTAAATATTTACTTAAGAGCTTACAATTCTCTATTTTGGAACTCTGAATAGCAGAATTTCAATTATAACTTCTACCACATGAGGGCATCCCTTACCTTCAAAATAAGACATACAGTAGAGGATCCTTTATTTAAACTTTATGTAGAAATAGATCAATTTTTCCCTGACTTAAAGAATAGTCCTGTTTATTCTCACACAAGTGTGCAACCACAGTGAACTAACAGGTTGCAACATGTTGCTATTTTCCAGTTCCTCCAACCACACTTGCAAAAGCAAGACTATTCTTAATTGTTGCTTTTTTTCAGCTGGCTTACCAATCCTCAAATCCTCAAAAATATGAAACTGTGGTGCTGTGCAAACAACGGCCGAAACCAGCAACCACAGCCCCAAACGTTTCAAAATTACATTTACCTACAGTGAAGCTGGGGAAAATGCTTCACTTGAGGTAATAAGCACTGAAGCTGCTTGAGAATGTCTACACCACATCAGTCAACACATTAACAAAATGGATTAGGTAAAACTAGAGCTCATGTATTTTAAGGGAAACACCAGCCAGCAAAATTACTAAGAACATCAGAAAAGGAAGCAATGAGTTAACTTAAGAGCTGTTTGCACTAGAACATTAAAATGCAAAATCTTACATTTTCCACTGCTATGCTGAAAAGGGTATTTTCAGCTGCACCCTTCTCCTTCTCTATACCCATTCTTTTGATGACTAGCTGCATATTTACTTGATAAAAACATATTCCTTCTATTACAATGAACAATCTTCTTAGCATGACTTCTAACATCTTACAGATACTAATGCCAAATATCAGAACTCCAGGTAAAAAAACAAAAGTAAATGAAGAATAATGTTAAAGTATTTCCTAGACTAAGGATTTTAAGTGTCTAATATACCACTTCCTTAACATTTAGGGATATTGCACACATCAAATACAATAGTTTTGCCAGATAAATGTCCTGACCAAATTATTACAGAACAACTTTGTAAGTGTTCCTTACTATGCAGTTCATCTTTACCGTATTTGAAATACTAACACATTAATGTTTTTCCAGACTGATAAATCTTCTCATCTGAGCACTTGTAATTGAAATTAAACCCTACAACACAAAATCACTTAAGTCACAATCCTCCAAGTCCAAGTTTACCCTTACTTTCACAGAAAGAGAGGACTGTTTACCAAGGTTATGAGGTAAATGGCCTGCACAGTGGCAGGCTCCTCCCGGAAAAATCTTGTTGGCAGTGGAAAATTGAGGCTCTCGAACTCCGAAGGGACAGGAAATTATACAGCAGCTGCAGTCAAGATCTTATAATATTGTCACAGATTAAATTCTACCACTGCTTGACTGTCAGGTTCATATGCTTGCACTTCCCACTGGTTCTTTAGTACTACTTCTAAAAAGAAACACCTGTAAATTACATGCCAGGCAAAATGCACAGCCCAATACTGGTTAATATTCTGCTACACAACTGATCTTCTGAACTCCTTCAGGCTCCCCAGCATTTCATTCGTCTTGTATTTAGAGGTTTGGGTTGTTTTTTTGTTTGTTTGTTTTTCTGTTGTTTTGTTTGTTTTTGTTTGTTTTTCCTTCTTTCTCCCTCACATAAAATACAAACACAGCAAGTAAAAGTCTGCTTGCAAAATAAGAACATAAGAAGTATTTTAATTTTTTCACGTGCAAATTTCATTTTGAACACATCTATGTGCTATTATGCTTTTTTAAGTACAACTAACATTTAAAACTTACTTTCAGATATAAATACAAAATTGAATCTAACAAGATTCAGGTGAGGCCATTACTAGGCACTCTCCTGTGGGGAAATGCATGTGAACAAATGATGCGATAAACCTTCAGTCATTACACAAGTAGCACAGTGCATGGTACCACAAAAGGCAGCAACAGTGGCATACCTAATCTGTAGCAGATGAAAATTTGGCAAACTCACATTTGATAAGACAGAAGTTCAAAGTGAACAAGTCCTGCATTTTTACTAATCTCTTTCGGACTCATGCTACTGTGGAACTCAACCTTAAGTTTTGCATGAAGGTTCAAAATAAAGATGCACAGTTCTTTCTGTGAAACTGAAAGCAAGCAAAAACTTTAAGTTTGTCACTTCATAAATGCCTACCACATACATGTCCCAGCTGCCTTGTTTTAAAAAAAAGCAGAAGAAACTCTGCATTAATTGTTTAAATATCCAAAGTATCAGAAGTTCATTTTAAGATTTACTGCAGTTCATATGGCAAAGCCACTTCTAAAAGATATGGCTTACATTAGAAGTTAAGGAGCTAGCTTTTGTTTAGAGGTTTCTAGTATCTACAAAGAGTTTCTACATCCTACTGATACCACTGGGAGCTGGCAGATCAACAAGAGACACTAGTCTAAACACATTTGTATTTTATTGAGGTGAGACATGACTTAAAACTAAGCTACATCATCTCTCTGGAGAAGCTATTGTTAATCAACAGGAACAGAGATATCAAGAGAACTGAGTATTTCAAGTTGAAATACATTCCTTTCTTCCAGGGGTCTCCTAGTGTAGACAACATGCAATGTAATGTATGAAAACCACATAAAGATACAAAATGGAATACATGTCATGTTCCATATACCAAAAATAATTTTTTAAAATAGATCACGTAGTAGTCAATAGAGCATCTGCTAGATCTCCTCAGGGAACTGAAAGGTTAGGATGGTGATGACATCTCTCTCTTTCTAGCTGCTCTTCACTTTTAATGGTTTAGTAAGGTAAGCACTTTCAATGTGCTAGTCCTAGCTGTAGTTACCACAGCAGAATGATGTATCCTGAGTTCCATCCCATCCTGCTCATCAGGTGAGCCACTGAGGCCCTAGAAGACAGCTTCGGTAAAGACAATGATCTATGCTATAAACATACTTGCATACTTAAATTCACAAAACGGGTCATATACCCAAAGAATAATTTTAGCTATAAATACCCAATAGAGCTTTGCAAAACAAAATAGGTTTTTAGATCAAAACCAGAAGCCTTAAACATACCTCAGTCTTCAGAAGCACTGAGCACCCACAGACTCCTACCAAAGATCATAGAAAACATTGGGTAGGCAGAGGGAATAAACAGAACAAAACTAGCCATCTACCTACACACTTAACTTCCTGGAAGGTGATTTTAATACATTCAAAAAGAACACATATAGATACAGACAAAAAAATACTGATATTTGGTCTTATTAAATAGCAAGTATTTGAATACTCTTGAAACACCAGGTATTTTTGGAAACTCCCAGGTCACGCTGGAAAACAACAATCCCAAACTTTAAGAGCATCAGAACACAAGGTCTATAAATAAGCAGTACCAAGCATCAAGCATATTTTGACTACCTTGATGTCCAAATTATAATTAAAAGCAACATGAAGCTGACTTGCAGCCTTCAGCGAGTAGATGACACTGATAATTACAAGTTACATACAGTAACACTTGCAAATTTTCATATCCTGAGTGACTGAAAGCGGACATTAACAAAACAGCAAGAGGCAGAGTTCTCTCAGCCACAGCATGAACAAATTCAAATCAGATGAGTAAAACTCCCATTAAGTGAAGCTAGCACTCAACATGCTATTCCAGTCTCATAAATAAAATTTAAGCACATGAGACTGATTGTTCTTAAAAGCAGTACATGGCACAACTATGATTTTTCTTTCAAGTCTGAAAACTTAACGCGAATTTAATGAAGAGGACAAGTCTAAAGCAAAGCACTGGAACAAGTAATCATTCTAACTGCATTGGAGAGGAGTCCTCATATCTGCTGTTAAGTCTCTAGCTTACACACATCCACCCCATACCTAGTAAATGTGCAAATTAAACATTCACAAACATGATACAGTGTTGCTAAAACAAATAAATGAGAGTTGGGGTTTTTTCTCCTAAGTAAAGTTTGCACAAAGCTGGTAGTGTTCATCTGGCTTTTCAGAAGCTGGCACAAAGGAAAAAAAAAAAAGTAGTTCATCTAGAAGACCAATTATCTCTCCTTTAATTCCAGTTTAAGGTCATCATGGTCTTTTTCATATGCAGAAGCTTTTCTTGATGGAAGAGTAAATTTAGTAAGAGTACAGCATCACCAAAGCTGTTAACTACCTTCAGACAGTTTGATGCCAGCCCTAATGAAGCGCATCTTTAAAGATTCTATTTCATGCTCCGGCAAAGCTATTTGTATACCAATAAGCTTTTCCTCTGCTAGACAGAATTCTAGTAATACATGCTTATTTTCAGATAAAGCTGAGCTTCCACTTCCAAAATCAGGTTCCTCATCTTAAGATTGTACTAACAGACAGATTGGTGGCTTTTGTTCTGTAAGAAGTACACTATAAAAAACAGCTTTCAAATGACAAATATTCTTTCTACAGATGGCATTGAGGTTTGGTTACTATGAAAATGGTACCTGCTGTATCCAGATTGCAGAAGTTTTACAACACAGTATACGTGCAACATTCAAACATAAGCTGAATAAATAAATATTTTGTATTTCTAGGTCTTTTCACTTCCCAGCTGTTTATAACTAGCTTGAAACCAAAGTACTTTACACCCCTCCCTCCTCCCCACCCTGTCCCCAAACACTAAGCACTCACACACTCGTTATTGTAGGATTGCTCCTAAGTGATGCACTGCTGGCATTGCTTTTTCCTCCATTCTGTTTACAAAAAAAAAAAGCATATAGCATTTGTTTTAAAAGTAGGAACTTCAAGCCTATTGACCGTGATAGTGAACCTTTTAAAGGAATGCCTCCAATTTATTTTTTTGCAGCGTGGTTCTACTATGAGAAGTGACTATAAAAATTATTTTACCCCAATGGATCTGTTCTGGAATGCTAAAGCTCAAGGTAGTTTCAGCACTGAAAACACCCACACAGTAAAAATAGATTTACTTTTGGTACTACAGTATCACAATTCTAATGTATGCAAGACCACAAGCTGATTTTTTTGCCTATCTTCTAAGGCTTCCTTTCCCCCCTCCCCCCCCCTTTTCCTCATTTTTCCTCATCATTGAAACTAAGTTAAACCACTGAAGTTTGGTACTGAATTATGAGAATTTAAAATTTATGTTAATAGCGTTGTACAGTTATATAAACATATATATACACCTATATAACTAGAAGTACTAACAATTCCCTTCAAAAGTGGTATTACCCAGAGGGAAACTTGTATACAAACCAAGACAATTTTCTCAATTTTCTCAATGCGTTCAGTGCATATCTGACACAGAAATTGGTTATGCATTGCATATACAGCCTGTTCTCATACTAGAACCAACTCCAGTATGTTTTTGTTAGTTTTTATTTAGAACTTAAGGCACATAAGCTTAAGATGTCAGAGACCAGTGATGACTGATGGAGAAGACTTCAGTTCCATTCAGTCATTTACTTCACACACTTTTGGTTTACACATCAACAATCTTATCAAACTGTCACAAACAAGTATGGAACTACTAGCAGGAATATGTTGTCCTTACTTCAAAAGAAAGTATGTACCTAATTTGATGAATTTGTTGCACTCAGCTGAGCTCATAAATTTGAAATGGGTGGAAAGTTGTGCATTTTTACTGCACAACGGCTATTTTAATGTTGCAAGTTTGCCTTTGTTGGTTTTAATTTCCTGTTTAATTGATTCATTGAGTAACCGAACCTCAAACCACTAAAATCAAGAAATAAAAGAAACTGTGGGTTTATACAGAAGCTTTAAAGATTTCAATAAAGGCATTCTTTAATAATATGGATTATGAGTTAAATGTCTTATAATAAAAATTAAAAAGTAATGCATCTTAACTAAGACATGTACTGCCTACAACTGTACAAAGATTTCTTTTGTACATACATAAGACGCCTATGTACCTCAAAGAAAATTGAGTCACTGACTATAGTATTAAGTATCACTAAGATACTTCATTATGAAAGTGTCTTCCCAGAATCACAAACCAGAAAAATACATATAGTATAGGATATAATGTCTTCAGGTTATTTTATAAACTTGTATAATTATTTTTTCCTTCCTAAAAGCTTTACATGATTGGAACAGAATTAACATGAGCAATTACATACTTTGAAGTCTAGTCATACAAGCAAGCTAGGGATTAACAGATCCATTAATCTATGGAAGAGAAGCAAGGAACACCAATATTCTTCCTCTGTACAGCAATGTACAGATGAGAATTAGCTAAGCAACTTAGTATTTACACAGGTATCGCCACCATTACATTGGGTCTTAAAAGCCCAAACTGAGTTCACTTGAACAAGTCAGTAAAATGACACCACTGATGTAAACAAACGCAATCACAGCATAAACAAAGCCACTCACTTACTGTTTAGTTCAATACCTACCTCGCTTCTTGTTGTAAATAATATTCTTACACAACAGGTCATTGTGACAGAGTACCACTGGTGATCCTAAATTTGACAGTCTTTCCTTCATCCAGGCCATCTCTTCCTGAAGAATTTGAGGACTTGGAATATCACTTAAAAACCTTTTCAGGTATAAGAGGTTTGAAAGTTAGTATTTAATACCACATGTTCCATACCGAGCATTTGTAACGAAATAACTTACTTTCCTTTCACAGGTCTATAATGACTGCATGTACACCTTTTACTCCTCTGGAAAACACTTTGGGAGCTCATCCCACCACCCAGAACAGCCTTTCATTGACTTTACTTTTACATCACCCAATTTTGGACAAATTTAGAAACTGAATACAGGACAGCTAAGAAATACAGGTTAGAATGAACAACAAGCAGTATTCCTGCAACCCCAGGAAACATACTTTTAGTATTCACCCCAGAACACAGATCTCTACTTGAGATTGATGGGTCTCTTAAAAACTCAGTACAACTACCTGAAGAAGTATATGACTTGACCCTTGTTCTTTAAAAAGAGTGAAAACTACCATCATTTAAGTGTCCAATCAAGCCAAGAGCTATCTGTATATATACACAAGAAATTAATTAAAAGAATTTCCTTATCGTATTTGACATATATACAACTACTTCAGTATACAAGAGTATGACAAAACTCAAAAATTTTACAAACTTAACATTATATGGTAGTGCAAACTTTTTTAAAAATATATGTCTACCCCTCAACCAGAAAGAATGGGAAGTCAGGAAAGCACATAAAGAAATACCCACCTTTTATTTACTTCCTCATCTGCAAATTCTGCGGGTATGAGAGAGAAGTATTTCCCCATCTTGAGCCACAGATTAGATTTAGGGATCCATCCATTGTGTGCATGAATAGTATGGATTTTAGCAAGCTGTCTGGCAATGAGTCTAAAAAAAAAAAAAAACCACAAAAAAACGTTTACATTGTTATGTTTAACGTATATCTGACAGTCTTCATTATATATTTCCTAGCAACAAGAGAAGACAACTGCAATATACTTAACAGAAAAACTGTAAAAAATGCAGCAAGGGAATCCAAAGAGGGTTTAAACATGAGCAGCACAGCTATAGGATATCATCTTTCAAGACTTAAAACATCATTAGCAGTGCTACTTGAGGGAGGGGAGGTGGGAAGGATTGGAGTTCAGTTACCGCATGCATATTTCACCTGTATTTACAGTCTACTCTTCAGCTTGTTTATCTTTGTAAGAGTTGGCTCAAATTAGCTGACATTGTTAGGCAAGTAAATTTCAGTGCATACATGAAAAAATAAAATCTGAAGACATCAGCACTTTCTGTTCATTGATAATAGTTTAAAAAATTTTGTCTCAGTGGAAGACTACCTTGATCCTATTCACAAAAGGAATATATTAGAAACAGAGCTAGGAGTACTTGCTTTAATCAAGCCCAGAACCCTACAACTTTACCATGTTAAATGATTTCCCTAACAGTATTGTGCAAGTGTTAAATATTCACAATAAGCAGAGCTCTAATGATTACATGTATAGTCTTCTGGGGAGGCAGCAAGGATCATTTGTTCAGTACTAAAATACCGTAACTAAGATAGAGGACAGTGAACTGTCAAGACTGTGAATATCAACTTAGTGCAGGCTTATAGAAATACGTCTTTTCTGCCTGCTCATAAACTAAGCTTGAGATCCCTTGCCCCTGACAGACCATAAATGAACGACAGAACCTGAATAATTAAATAATAAAAAAAAATTTAAAACTTACCTGAAAATATCTGGATTGCATACATGCTCTGGATCCAGGGCTTCTCCCTGCATGAACTCGTAGCACAGGCCATTATTGAAAGTACAGTATAGTTGAGGTGCGCAGCCATGGGCCTGCAGCACGCGGAAACTCTTCACTTCTTCATCTCGATCTACTAAGAGCTCGGTCTTATTTCCATAGATCCTAACTAGGACGACATCATCCGTTATGTCACCCACATAGCAGCCAATTAACTTATTGGTGATTCCATCGGTGAACAGCTGAAAAGTAAAAACAATACATAAGCAACTCAGATCTGCATCTGCACTTTTAATGTGCAGGAAAAGAATGCAGAGTTATTTAGTTCACAAAACACAAATGTTTACTAGATTGAGCATTAACAAAATAAATCTTTAAAATACAGGAAAAACATGAAGAAAATTGCAAGGATTTTTACCAGGAACACATGAGAAGAGGAAAATTTGAAAACATGCTACAGTGAACTAAATAAATATTACATATAAATGGCAATAACTGAAAGCTCAGTACTGTAAAATGAGTTTCCACATAACCACTCTGAAACTGATGGATTAAAATGGCTGAAAGCAAAGACCCAACAAGGCAGCACTCCTAAACCAGTAAAAACCCCCAGTCATGAATACAGGCAGCACAAAAAACCCCACTATTTTGATGCACTTCAGAATTTCAGTATTTGCTGATCAGTGCACAACTAATAAAAGATACTCCTGGAGTTCTAAACTACTCCTTTCAAAAAGCAAAATAAAATTCAAGTCAGAAACAGTTCAAATTCAGTGGTTATCATCTTCCCACTAGCCTTGATGTTTTACTGATTGAGAACAATTCCTAAAGTCACTATGGTTCCTTTGCAATTTGAAACCGTATTTAAAATTCAAGACCCTAGCCTTCAGCATCAAGTATCATTCCAAATTTTAAAACTTCTAACCAGACCTACTATCCACTCATTTTACTTCATAACTGGCCTACACCATTTAAAAGATTTAAAAAGCATTAAGTCCTTACCATTAAGATGTAGATAAATGCAATTTTTAAATCCCTGCTATTTACTAGACTTTGATCAGTCTAGTCACTGATGCCTGAACTGCAGCAAGTAACTTCCTACAAAAGTATTATGTTTACATCTAACGACAACCTACTCCCCGTCCTTTCAAATAAGGAGAGAAGTATGGATAGTACAAGCTCCCAGCTATGGAAAAGGGGGAGGGAAGGAAGGTGGACAGGAAAAAAAAAAAGAAAACCCACCCACTCTACTTAGCTGCTGCTCCTCCTTTCACATTTGATGATGCCTAAAATATGTTGCAGATGCTACCTGACAAGCAGACTAGATCCTGAGTAACTGGGCTGTGCATACCCAGCTGCACATAGTGAAGCATTCGAAATCCCATTCAATGCCTGCAAGAGTAACACAGCAGCTCCTAATCTCCTCCTACAATCTGGGACAGTTTTGCAGCTCAGAAAAACAGATGTTTCACACTTTCAAACTCTTTGCACTCTGTCAACTCAGACTGAATGCGTAAGAACTTGCTAGATGAACACTACCCATATTAATTCTAGCTCTTAGGCAAGTGACTGAAGGACAAGCCATTAATGTTCTCCAGTGACAAGCAGTATCACAAGCAAGAAAACCAATGTTTTCATAACTATTGAACAATCTCTTGCAGCCTTCAACATAAGTAAACAATTTAAAGTCAAGGTTCTCACAGCAACTGCAACTTGTATTCAACTATAATTTTTTTTTAGCATTTAGAGTCATGTCTCTTCCTACTCTGTTGCCCCCAAAACCCTAATTAAAACTTAACTTTAAAAGGAATACGCCCTCCCACAAAGCACAAAAACGCCTCTCAGGCAAATAAGCAGCAAGAAGTAGCTTCAAGTTGGTTAACATACAGTTAGACATACACAATTTTCCCTTGAGTGGACATCCTGCAAGTTTAACTTAACAGCTTTCTTTAGGAGATGCTTTCATCATTAATTCTCATTTAGTTAACTCTTCTGGCATATGTACACGAGACAAATGGAGATACGGTCTGTTCCCCTTTATTAGAAATTTTTCAAAGTATGCAGGTCCTTGAAGCTGCAAGCAGCTTTTATTTAAAGGCTACTTGAAGACCCTTGATATTTTTAAATCCTAACTGTAATGCAAGACAGAAAATCAGCTGAAAAATTAAACCTATTTATCAGAATTAGATACTAAGTGTTCCATGACAACAGTTTGAATTCTTTATTTACTGATGTCCATTCATGCGGCCTCCCATGTCTTCTACCTCAAGACCTAAGCTGGGCCCAGAAGAAAAACACTAACAAATGGAGCAATTAGTTGTGTTTCAGATTTTATACTAAACCTTAATGTTTAATGAATAAGTACTTTTATTAAAAATACACACCAACAACAGACAAATTCTCTTCAGGCATCATCTTTTCTTAGAACCTTGGACTGTTTGGGTGGGGGTTTTTTGTTGTGGTTTTTGTTTTTTTTTGTTTGGTTGGTTGGTTGGTTTTTTGTTTGTTTTTTTTTGTTTGTTTTTGGTTTTTTTAAAATGCAAGTCAGAAACTTTGACTTTTCCTCTCCCCCCCTCCAAGAAGTAGCCTTTATTTTGAAAAGTAAAGTTGCATCATTCAAACACAAGTGACAGCTTATTTCCGAATCTCAGGGGTTTAGAGAAATTAAGCATTAGAAGCAATTTAATTCCCAAAGAAAAGAATTATGAAGCTGGGTCAAGTCTCCCTATTTAGGAAGACACGACTTTCATATTGAAAGATGCTGTGTTTTAGTCATTATACCTTGCTTTCCTCAGCACCCCTATGTGATGAGGTCAACTCACTCATCAATAAATGAAAAAAAGGACGAGGGAAGCTTTAATTATCAATCACAAATAACAAGAAATAGCTCAAGTTCCTGTGGAAAGATGCAGAATAGCTGAGGATACAAATAAACTCCATTTTCTTAAACAGTTACGAACACTCAATTCTGAGGTTCAGCAAATCTTTTAAGTTTAAATGGGGTAACCATAAATTCAAGTAAACCTACTTACAAAGCCTCCTTGGTTGACTCAAAGTAAAACTGCACAATTTATGGACACATTTTTTTACTAGCTATTATTTTAATAACCTAGGAAACAAGTAATGAAAAATCTTGTCTTAAATAGTCTTCATAACAACTAAATGTTAAAATGTTAATCAGTGCAACTAAGAAAACTATACCATTTAGCACCACAGATACAGGTTTTCACATTAAAAAGAATACACCTGTACTATAACATTATCTTTTGCTTGACACTTACATAGCCATTTTAAGTTTTCCCTGCGTACATAAGCAGATTGTTGCAACAATGCACATGCTATACTGAGAGATGAGTGATGTGCTTGAGCAGCGTTACCTAATTTGAACAGGCAGTACTTAAATGCATTTCAAGTATGGCTAGTAAATAACAAATAACATCTTTATATTATAATGTATTCATTCATAATCTTCCCCCCCGCAAGCATATCGTCACAGAACTATTTCAGAACTATTGAGATCAGAATGGACCTCCTGTTTTCATCTAGTTCAACCTCCCTGCTCAAGCAGGGCCCACTAGAGCCAGTCATTTGAGTCCAGCGAAATCACCAGAAATTCTCAAGACTCTACCAACCTTTTTGAGCAACCTGTTTCAGTGTTTGGCCACCCTCACAGTAAATAAAAAAAAAAAAAAAAAAAAAAAGAAGTGTTAAAAGTGTTTTCTTGGGTTCAAATAGAATTTCACATGTGTTTTACTTTGTGCTCATTGCCTTGTCTGTCACTGGGCACTGAGAAGTACCTGGCTCCCCCTTCTTTCCCTCCCATCAGGTATTTATACATATTGATAAGATCCCTGGCAAGTCCTCTTTCTTCCAGGCCAAACAGTCCCAGCCTCACCTCATATGAAAGATGTTCCAGTTGCTCAGACATCTTCATGGCCCTTTGCTGAACTTGCTCCAGGGAGCCTGCACCTTTCTCATACCAGGGAGCCAACATGACACAGCACTAATATGGCAAATCAGTGCAGAAGTACTGATTCTCATACCTTTTAGCATAAAACCAGAATTAACTCATTAAAAAGTTTAAAGAGCACTTTGCAGAAGTGGTATGTGTGGAGCTGTCAATCAAGTTAAGAAGTATCATGTCTGCCATACCTAAATGAAAACTTCTGAAATGTAGCATTAGAGAAAGCTCTTACGCTGTCACTACAGGGCAGAAAGAAAAGTGAAAGTTCTGTTGAATTAAGAATGATCAAAACCAGTAAGTATAAATAAAATTCACTACTTCCTCTGAAGAAGTCTATCATCTTCATCAAATGGCAAAGGCAGCAAACAAAATAGACAGCAATTCCTAACATACAACAGCACTATTTCAAATCACTGAAACTTGTGCTACCATTTTCTACTTGTTATAAAACAATCCTCTGATAAAGCTTGCCTTTCTCTCCCTACAAAACTGCCTTATGAAAAACACTAGGCTATAAGGTGATCGCAAGTAGTGATACCACAAAAAATGAGATGTTAAGTAGGGCTGATGCAAAGAAACAGTAAGAATTTGACTTGTTTATGCTGTTAAGCAAACTTCTGGCCACTGTAAAGCTTTTGTCATACTGCACAGGTCTATTATCCTCTTAAAGCAGGTCTCATTAGTGTTAATAAAAGCAAATCTACAACAAGGAAATTGGACTCCCTCAACTGATAATTTAGGAACTCTACTTCCTATTAGCATCCATTTGTAACATGCTGCTATAAGTAATTATTTACACGCAGGAGCATTCTAGTTATCGCTTCTTAAAAAGGTAGAAGGGTTTACTTTTCTAATAACATTATTCAGAGTAGACAATTTCCATATTCCACAGCAAGTAAACATCTAATGTTTGCTACTGGTAAAAGAACATACTACTCACTTCTTTTATTCATAATGCCTTTAGTGTAGCATTTAAAGAACCAGCTTAGAATGCCTTGCCTGAAACGTAACCTGAGATGCAGCAGAGCAGAACAGGAGTTCTGTAACAAAAGCATCAGTTGAGCAGCATAAAGAGACTAGACTCTGATGACATAGATAAAATAAACTCTCAAGGCCATGTGGTGTAAGATGAAAGAATCTACAGAATGTTATGAATAGCAGGTAGAAATTTCTGGAAATTTATAAATACAGAGAGCCAATAGGATTCAAGAACACAATGTAATGCATTACAAAATCCAGCAGCAAGATTCTGGTATCACACTGCAATAGGTATTTTCA